TCCACATTTCATATACAGTGGGGAAATAAGTATTCAACTCATCACCATTATTCTCCGAAAACATATTTCTAAACGTGCTGTTGACTTGAATTGTGCTGTTGACTGTTAATTTGATGGAATAAACGTGGACATTTTTTCAGAAAATAGCCTGTTTATTTAATTTAAAAATATGTTACATTTATTTAGCCCATATAGGCTATTCAATTCATTCATTCATTCATTTTCTTTTCGGCTTAGTCCCTTTATTAATCAGGGCTTGCCACAGCGAAATGAACCAACAAATAATCCAGCATATGTTTTACGCAGTGGATGCCCTTCTATCTGCAACCCATCACTGGGAAACACCCATACACTCTTACATTCACACACATACACTACGGATAATTTAGTTTATTCAATTCAACTAAACCGCATTTCTTTGGACTGTGGGGGAAACCAGAGCACCCGGAAGAAACCCATGCCAACACTCGGAGAACTGACCCAGCCGAGGCTCGAACCAGCGACCTCCGTTCTACCCACTACTACGCCACCGTGACGCCCAGTATTAAATTATATTTTATTTATTTATTATAAATCTATTCAATTAAATTACGGCCTGTATTTTACCATTTATTTTGGCTTTAACAGTTAATCTAATCAAAGAACATTTAACATTTAAACTTTTTCTCTTATCAGAAAACAATAAACACAATTATCACAGGCGCAGGATTGTATTAGATTTTAGCAAATATGAACAAAACATGGAGAGAACTCCTCCACCTAACATGGAGAAACAGGCACCCGTGGGCATCGAGTCCTCCGCCTTGCATTGGCCACTGTTAAACTACTGGCTACTAATAAAGCTCGGCTGCCCCCTATTGGCAATGTTTTTACGGAGTCAGAGAATTTCCCAGGGTGCTGCAGCTAACAGCGGTTAGTCATGGCATTCTGTTCCCTGAGACGCGCATTTCTAAAGACCACATCAGTATTTCCCTCACTGTATATGTTATTTTAAATTTTCTGAAGAATTCTAAATGATTTTCGAATCATTTTATGAAGTGAAAATGTTCATAATTGTTTATAATATTACTTTAACATTAGACTATGTTTTACCATTACCAATATTATGACATCAGCAAAAGCTGAATGTGATGGTTATGAACATTAAAATTACATTTGAATGTTTTATACCAGATCCAATTTAAAACATATTATAATACTGCAGAGCAGGGATTATATCAGAACCCAAAAGAATATTTTCTATTGCAATTTTATAATTGGGGATTTCGGATAATGAAAAAATATGCAGTAATCAGTGGGTAAAATAAAGTGATGACACTTTATTATTTTGCTCAGTACCATACATATTATGCTACTAAGCAAAATATACATATTGACACACCCATATTGAAAATTTGAAGCCTTTATTTTGTGTTATAAAATATGTTTCGAATAAGCAAGCAGAAACATTGAGAACATTAACTTTAAAGGTTTAACACAAAACTTATTGTACTCATTGAAAGAAAAATCAAAAAACAGTAACAGGAAAATCTTGCTCGATACCACAAAATTATGTTGTCCAATTTCTGACTTCATTACTGCACCACTCAATGCAAAAGTCATTGTTATTTTTTTTAGAATAATGCAGGGTATTTTAAAATTACAAATGTATTTTTACATTTACCTAATAAAAATTATTAAGAAAAAGAAAAGCCCTGGCGGCTACCTGATTTTTACAGCATTTTCTGATTTTACTACATTATTACCGTTATTTACTTGTTTATTTTATTTTTTGGCTTTTGTTGTTGTCTTACCTGCATTCTGAAACCGTTCTTTGCTGGGCTCGAACCCTGTTGTCGCAGTCAACTCCGTTTCACATCACAAGTCTACCGACGTACATGGTGAGCAACCAGACAAACTGGTAACAGTGGAAAAGCTGTCCATATGGAGGTAAGCATCCAGCTGGTAAGCCTGAAAAGAAACAGCATCATTGTTTGTTTTTAAAGACAAAATGCAGCCATACATACCCCTGACTACATAATTCAGGATCTCCAGATATGTATAAAGGAGTACGTTATCGATGTAAGCCTATGCTGCAACAACCTAAATCCCTAATCCTACCCAATACCTAAACCCATCTACTACCTTAATAACTAACAATAAGCAGCCAATTAGGAGTTTATTAAAGTAAAAGTCATATGGCATTTTAATAGTGAGAAATGTACCTAAAATAAAATGTGACAGACTTCTTTTGGAAAAATGTAAATAATCACAAACTTGTGGCTGGTGGTGTACCTGAAACAGCAGCATCTGTGAAGTGGTTGATGCTGGCACTCTTGCTTGGTTGGAATTCAGCCTTTTACTCTGCAGTGGATGTGAAGCCAAGTCACTCTGTATATGTGCCAAGCCAGAATAAACCTCTAACCCCTAAAGCAACTGCAGTGAAAAGTTTTCATAGCACGGCGAGTGCTTATAATTAGAGATTTTCAAAAATTACCTGTATTTTGTTTTGGTCTCCAAGGCTCTGATGGCGTGGGAGCTAGACCTGACACTGCATTACAGTAGGAGAAAGCACAGAAATTCATTAGAAACATATTGCTTGTATTAATTTAAAGCCTCCTGATGAAAACTGCCATTTAACCAATCCCTTTCAGAGAGCTTTTAGTCCTGTCTCTGCTCCTGTAAAACATAATTTGTTGGCTAGAAAAATCACTGAAAAACATACACATAGCACACGGTTTTAACTAGGGTGAATTCATTATGGGATAAATGGATTTAATTAAATGAGAATCCCTCTGTAACTATGCAAAAGCCCCGTGAATAAATCAGTTCCTAGGGAATTAGCCTTCAGTGCAGTTTGGAATCAATCTTTAAATTAGTATGTATATGTTTCAGTTTCTTTATTTAAGGTCACATGTAAATGATAATTATGGTAAATAAACAATAAGAAAAATAAACGGTATAATAAAATCAATAGCATAATATATAAAGTGCCAAGTCACATCTAATGTTACACAAGACTACACTAAGACTGCTAAGACACAAGACTCCTAAATTGCACCTTATATAGAACGATAAATGTTCCCATTGTTAATATACGGATTTCGTAGATACAAAATTAGCCAGATGTAAAGACAATAGAATACACCTTAAAGCAGAGATGCCCAAACTAGGGTTCAGGGGCCAAAGTTGGCCCATGGTAGCCTTTGATTTGGCCCACCATCCTATCTGAGAATAGAGGGAGACTTTTGGGAAGGGTTGGGGTTAATGCCTTAATACACAATGTCATTTCCAATTTAATGTAACCTTTTACTGGTTTATTTCATTGTTAAGCTATAAAAAAGCAAATGTTTCAATTAAATGTTAAATTAAATGTAAATTAATCCAATTTTTGTTTGTTTGTTAAGGAACATACTGTTGCTCAACGTAAAGACCACAATTCAGAAGTCCTCAGTGAGCAAATCAAGGCAAATGCAGCTTGGCTTTGTGTATTTGGCATTAAACTCCATTGTGTTATAAATTGAATTATATTTTCATTTTAATAGGGCCATTATAAAAGGTAAAATATATATTATGAATTGGTTAATATGATTAAAGTTTTCTATTTATTTTGAACTAAATGAGGAAATTATCCATGGCAACTTTGTAATTCAGTTGAATACACTGTACATATCTTTGGTCCACTGCCCTCAATCAAGTTTGGGTTTTGATCCTTCTTAAAAAAAGGTTTAGACACCCCTGCCTTAAAGGGACTTTGGTAACTGTCTACTATCTTTAAACTGCAAGGACAGGGAAACTGCAAATGTAGCATAAACATTTTGTAACAAAAGGGTATTATTTTGCACAGGCCGTTCAATGCTCAGAGATGACAAATAGTATGAAGCAAATTTATGCAAGTAATAAATGTTAAATAAACCTATTGTATTAAATTAAACAAAAAATACACCACAAACCAGATTTAAAATGTAAAAGGACGTTGTTAACACGCCACAAACTAAGACTTTTATAGTTTAAACTTTGATTATTTACGATTTGTACCAATAAAATAAAGTAGTCCAACGGAGCAAAGTTTAAAACAAGTTTTAAAATAGCCTATACTTTAAAAACGCTTAAATTGCAAGCAGACATGCATTGAAAGTGATATGAATCACAACATGGCGGATGTAATCGAAAGTTGCTAATTTTAAAAGATAAAGTAAATAAAAATGTTATCGATGCAATTTTAAGTCACTTATCTTGCGAATATTAAAAAATAAATAAATGAGTATGTTAAATGAACCCACCTCAACGGCTCAATAACTCAAAAACTTCAGCTTTCTCTCAGGCTGCAGTGGAGAAATTACACCCTTTACACATACTCAAGCCAACGTCGCCCTCTAGTGGAGCAACAAAACGATGCTGTGTGAATTAATAAACAACAAGTATGCTAGTAATGCCACTATCGGAAGTTTGAAGAAGGCCGCATTTAAAAAAAAGATAAGTAACCATAAAGTTAAATGTCTTCTTTGGTTAGTGTATTAGCCTTAACATGTCTATGAAAATTCACTTATGGGATTTGAAACACCTAATTTATTCATGTTTAATGCTGTGGCAAAAAAGTGCAATACAATGTAGCTTAATATTGATGTTAATTGACTCGTCTTTACTCGTCAACTCACTTTACTTGCTGTTGATTTACTTGCCTTTAGCCTATCTAAGATGTACAGTAGGCTACATCTTTGACATTGCAGATCAATACAATAAACTTTTCTGTGTGATTCATAAAATTGTGTAAACATACAGGCAAAACAAATAAAAAAATTGAATATGTGTGACTAAATGACCAGTGGTCTTCCACATTTGGGTGAACAATCCATTTAGAATGATGGGTTGTGGATAAGTTTGAGGTTATATTGGTTTGAAGGTCAAAACTACCTCAGACCTCAAATTATGGAGCATATACCTTTAAAAAGTATACTGTTTCATATGATGATCATGCACATGCTGGGGAACCCAGAGTATATTAAATAAAAAATTGTATATTGAATTTCTTAAATTTTAATTATGTAAGGTATACAGATAAAAAAAAAACATATTTACATGAATACAAACAAATATTTACAATTTGCATACTCTTCTAAATTCACAGAATACAAAATATATTAGATAATTTAAACATTTGATTAAAAAAAAGGAAAAAGTGTCGTGTTGCACTTATTCATTAAAAAGAAGTGCATTGTTTTCAGAATGATAGCATTATGTGTGATTCAGTTCAAATTACAAAAGTCAAGCCCTCCTTCAGTGTGCTTCCATTACTGTGGTTTGCATTATCTTCACAGCTAGTCTCTGGATTGGTATGATCGGCAGGTCCAGAATCTGTTTCATCTGATCTGTTGGTGTTTGTATCGTCTTTGTGACTTCCATTGGAGTGCTCAGGCTCTTTCTGGGCATTGATTGTAAGGCTGGTATTGATCATGCTGGACTCTGTGAGGGTGCTTGTGCCACTGCTGGCGTCTGAATGAGCAGATTTGTTGTCAATGTCAGCATCAGCCTCGTCTGTTTCTTCTGTGTCTTTTGAGTCTGTGTATCCTGCCAGTTCATTCCTCAGACTCTGCGCTCTGTCCATGTAGCTTTTAGATAGTTCAGCATCTGGCATGTAGTTGGCATGAATCTCTGCAAGCTTCATGTAGATTATGTACAGTGTACTGAGGCTTTCCTTATCTTCCAGGGCTGCCGCCAGGGCTAAGTGAAAGTAACCCATGGCATCAAATGCGTCCTAAGGCAGAAAAAGAAATTATTTGTCATAAAATGGGCTTAGGGTAGAGCTGTCACAATATGTTTATTGTTGTACGATATATTACACCAAAATAAATTGCAATAAATCATATTATTGTCAATTTAACACCATTTTATGCCACTCATTATATAATGAAAGAAGGACAATATAATATCACAATGCAAGTTTAATCTTTCAGAGAACACATAATATTTTATTCTTAAGAATATTTTATTTAATTTATAGTTATTTTAACGATTTAATAATTAGGCATTGGAATCAAAACGTGAAACATAGATTTTATTAAATAATAATAAATGTTTACAAAAAAGAGCAAGATGAAAAGTAACAGAGGCTGCAATATCTTCTACCAGATCTACCGTATTTTCAGTTGTCAGACACCCACATGAAAATATATTACAGTAATTTATAGTAAATACTGGTGTTCTTTAGCCATACATAACCTCTACCTCCAGTAGAAATAGAGACGCTGCGCAATCAGCTAAAATGTTGCTAGAATTGTTTTTTATGTATGGGCGATGTACACTCATCGGCCACTTTATAAGGTACATCTTACTAGTAACTGGTTGGAAACTCTTTTGCCTTCAGAACTGCCTTAATCCTTTGTGACATAGATTCAACAAGGTACTGGAAATATTTCTCAGAGATTTTGGTCCATATTGACATGATAGCATCATGCAGTTTCAGCAGATTTGTCTGCTGCACATCCATGACACGAATCTCCCATTCCACCACATCCCAAAGGTGCTCTATTGTATTAGGAACTGGTGACTCTGGAGACCAGTTGAGTACAGTGAACTCATTGTCATGTTCAAGAAACCAGTCTGAGATTATTCACACTTTACAACATGGCGCGTAACCTGCTGGAAGTAGCCATTAGAGGAACACTGTGGTCATAAAGGGATGGACATGGTCAGCAACATTGCTCAGGTAAGCTGTGGCGTTGACACGATGCTCAGTTGGTACTAATGGGCCCAAAGTGTGCTAAGAAAATATCCCCTGCCTACACCATTACACCACCACCAGACTGAACCGTTGATACAAGGCAAAATCTGACTATACCCTCTGAATTTACACCCACAGAACTGGATATTTTCTTTTTTTCGGACCATTCTTTGTAAACCCTAGAGATAGTTGTGCATGACAATCCCAGTAGATCAGACATTTCTGAGATACTCAGACCAGCCTGTCTGGCACCAACAACCATGTTCAAAGTTACTTGAATCACCTTTCATCCCCATTCTAATGCTCAGTTTGAACTGCAGCAGATCGTCTTGATCATGTTGACGAGTTGCTGCCATGTGATTGGCTGATTAGAAATTTACGTTAACGAGCAGTTGGACAGGTGTACTTAATGAATTGGCCGGTGAGTGTATATTGCATCACCAAAAATAATTAAGGTCATGTCCATGTGTTGTGCGATAAGTCGATTATATCGATTGTTGTGACAGGCCTATTTAGGAATGAACTTTTAAGTCAGTTTCTTTAAACCTTATTCACCTATCATTTTTACAGGTTTTGTACATACAAAAATATGAATGTCTCAAATTTGGTTAAAATAATTGTTTTTTTTTTCCCTTTCTTAAGATCTTAATTCATATCCATGCAATTCAAATATTCATCTTTAGCTACAGAACATAAACAGCATATTCAACTATTTCTCTCTCCTGCTGGTTTATGTATATTTACACTTTCTATATAATATAAGTGAAATCTGTATGATGTATTTTAGTTTAAAATGTAAAATCAAGTTTAGCATCAAGATGTATTAACTTAATATAACTGAAAATATGTTTTTCACAAAATTATTTTGATTTTAATTAGAAAATTGTATAATTTTGTTTTGGTGAACTTCTTTCTAAACATTCAATCATTCATTTTCGGCTTAGTCCCCTTAATTTGGGGTCGCCACATCGGAATTAATCGCCAGCTTATCCAGCACGTTTCACGCAGCAGATGCCCTTCCTGCTGCAACCCATCACTGGAAAACATCCACACATCTCATTCACACACATACACTACGAACAATTTAGCCTACCCAATTCACCTGTACCACATGTCTTTGGACTTGTAGGGGAAACTGGAGCACCCAGAGGAAACCCACACGAACATGGGGAGAACATTCAAACTCCACAAAAAAACGCCAACTGACCCAGCCGAGGCTCGAACCAGTGACCTTCTTGCTGTGAGGCGAACAAGCTACCCACTGCGCCACCGTGTCACCCATGGTTATAACATATTTCAAATTAATTTAATAATTTATTAGTTTTTTTTATTTCAAGTTATTTTAAATCATTCAATCAAATTGAGAAACTAAATGAAATAAAACTACTATATAAGCTGCATTTTTTTTAATTACAAGTAATGAAAAATATAGTGCTGGTGTGAGTTTTAGCTAACTATATAATCCAGGCCCTGAAATGACAAAATTGGCATGTAAAATGTTCATTACCACATTTTAAACCAATACATGTGAATAGACAGTGCATGATTATCCTCTCTGTGCAATAAAACATGCAAAATGTTCAGTCTGGGATGCAGCTAAAATAAAAACATGAGAGTCTCACCTTTAATCTGTATAGGGTCAGATCAGCCAGTCTGCAGTACACTTTAACATAATACCGAACTTCAATAGCATGCTCTAGTGCAGTAGGGCAGAGAGAAAGAGACTTCAGATAGTAGTTCTCAGCCATTTCATACTTCCCTAGAGAGAAGTATACTGAGGCGAGGCGATGGAAGGACGCTCTCTCATTAAGAAGAACACCTGTGAGAAATACAGATAGCACATTAAACTGCAAATTAAACTGATAGAATGTTTTCTTCTTTGTCTTATTGTTTTCTATTTGAACATAATTTAACCACATAATTTATTTAAAAAAACACTTCCTCATTACTTTATAATGTATAAGGTTTTTTATATATATTTTTAACATATAACTTCTCCTTTTACCACAAAGCTCTAAGTGTCTTCTTTCCAATAATACATCATTTGTGTTCGTAGCTTACTGGAGTCAGGAACTGTTACTATTTAAAGTTAGGTAGGTGTAAATCCCCAAAATTGAGTGCTGGCTAACAGGTTTACCATCACAAACAAAAGTATGCATGATTAAAAAATAAACACTCACACAACCAAACAAACTGGACAGGGAAGCAAGTTTGTCAGATCATTAGAATATTTCAAAGAGGATCCCAGAGTTTAATGAGAACCGGTTGCCATGCCTGAAGATTGAGCTCATACAGTTCACCATGTCTAATCATTTATTTGCTCTCTAAAAGTTTATTTTTTAGTTCTGTAACAGTTTCTATAAGCATTAATTAAGGTGTCATTGAGAAAGTATATATCCACGTCATGCAAATTTTTACCAAAAATTTAGCATTTTGATTAAATATTTGTTGTTAGACTTTAAATGGTATACGTTACACTTCATAGATATTTTGAATTTATAATCATGTACACAGGCAGATGCAATGTGGTGCATGATGCACTCAATAAAATAACTCATTGGATGAACGTAAAATAACTAAGTGCAGGATTTCCTCCAATAAATTTCAATCCCACGCAAAGCATGCTGGGAACTACAAATTCCCTAACCAGGTAGTTGGACCAAACACAATTCCTTCATGTTGTCCCAACACAAAACACCTAAGTTAACTTAATGGTTTACAAATTTACGTGGACTGAACATAAAACAAATAAACTGGCCAAAGAAATTAAAAGAGCTGTGTTGTTTCAACTCATTTTAAACAGGTTTGAACAAGTAGCAGCAATCTTTTATTTTTATTTTTTTTGAGTGTAGAATGAAACAGGATATGCATCACATCGTGCTTATTCAAATAGCAAAATTCTAGTTCACTGAAGAGAGCATCTCTGTTTACAGTATGTTTTATACTAAATGTGATGACACAATTAAGTTTGCATTTTTAAACTTTTTTGGCATATATAAAGAGAATGAACATGTGCACTCATCAAAATTATTAGAATGAGACCGAGATTTCCCTTAACAAATGGAACTCTTTATATTTGGTGCCCAGCTGTGTGGAAGACATGGTTACGGCTTTAGGTATGTTTAGATTTAACATACAGCATTCTGCTACTGTATGTTGTCTGCTGTAGAGGACATGCATCTCCAGCAGGGGGCACTACAGCTTAACACAAGCTTACACAAAGCACTTAAAAACAAAAATTGCTTAATAAAACAACATTACTGTCTTCCATTAATGAAGTTATTGTTAATATTGTATTATAACAATTATTATTATTTAATCCTGAGGCCTTACCAGTGGTGGCGCTGACCTGCACTGCAAGAGTGGCATATTGCAGTGCTTCCTCATATTGCTTTTGCTTCATCAGGAGCTCTGTCAGTTTACTTAACAGCCTGAACTCTGAGTGCACATCCTTAATGCTGCGTGCAAATGGCAAACTCCCATCCTTTTTTGGGGGGCAAAATCCATGCAAAGTCATATGATATACATTTCTCAAGAATTATTGTATTGTTTTGGGTAAATTGTATTGTGAATGTGAACAAGGCGAGGCCTACCCTGTAAAAAGGTAGGGCAGCTATCTGATTTCTGTGTCCTTTGAAAAACACATCTCCTGCTTCCTCATAAATGCTCATAGCGAAGCATGGGTCATTCATCCTGAGGGCTGTCTTTACTGCTGCCTGTATACATTTGTTTATGGAGAAAGGAGTTATCACAGCAGCTGATAAAAGCATGTACATGATAGAGGAATACGTTCTCATTAGAGATCACCTTAGCCTTAAAACATAAAGATTACCATTTTTGTAGAATTTGTGGCATACCTTTGTACATAAATACCCAAAAAGTATAACACTAATCAATAATTTACTCCTTTTGCAATACACTACTTTGAAAATCATTACCTGTAGGTACATGTCAGCCAGTTCGTCTTCATTGATTAGATAGTAGATACGGCCCACTTGTAACCATGTCTCAGACTCTTCCTGTCTTTTCCCCAGATCTATAGAGATCCTCAAGCTTTGCTTTGAGCAATCTAGAGACTTCCTAGATGACCTGTAAGGATTTTAGCAAAGAATACTTTTAAAACTATTGATTTATTTGTTGCTATTGGATCAGGTTTCAAAGTACTGAAAGCAGTGATGTAGTGTATTGTGTGGAATGTGTATCTTACTTCTCTGTGTTGAGTGAGAGATACAGGCTGCTCAGGAGTTCAAGGTATTCTCCTTCTAGCTGTTTATTCTTGAGTCTTCTGCACAGACTCACACAGTGCTCATAGTAAACAATACACTGTCCGTACAGCAGCAAATCAGCATAATGACGACTTAAAACTTTTGCCACAACCATCTGACCTGCATTTAGAAGGAATTTGTTATTACTTAATAATGATCTGACCTCAAATTATTAATCCAATAAGTAAAATACATTTTGTAACATTGAAATGGCACTAAAAGTATTTTGACTAATTGAGACAATTATGTCATGATTGCAATTGATTTATTTGGTTAAAATAGTACTTGCATTGATATTTTGGTATGTATCGCATATAAATTTAAATGTGGCTTAAGTGTTCAAATACTTTTGGGACCACTGTATGCAATAGATAATATTTAAACTCACTGTGCAGATTGTTAGCACTAATAGCAATTAGCAGGCCCATCTCGAACCACAGTCGAACCTCCTGGCTCCCCCCTCTATCCTTGTAGCTCCTACCCAGCCATAGCAGAACCTGGACATGCTCCTGGTCTGTAGGGCTCTCTGAGAGAAACTGAAATAGGTGGAAGGATTTGAGTAGAAAGCACTCTGCCAGGCCTGAAGCCCCTATGGATAGGGACAAGCATCCCAAATTAGCCAGAGCTAGGGCTTCATTACGTTTGTTCCCATTCTCTCTGGAGATTTGCAGAGCACAATAAAAGTTTCTTGCTGCCTCCTGAACTCTGGCCTGTTTGCGTAAACATAAAGCTAGGAGATTGTAAACCACCCCACGCTGTGTTGGACTGTCTGTTTCATTCAAAGACTTAAGAAGTGGACGCAGATTGTTCTGAGCCTGAATGGGTTCATCTGTCATTACCAAGAGCCAGGCCAGCAGTATGGACGCCTCAAAGCCCTCTTCCTCATTGATTTGATTTCCAGTCTTTGCTGCATGTTGGGCATATGGCACAGCTTTTTTTAGTGCTCCATGCTGCTGGTAAACACTAGCCAGGCTCAGGCACAGGTCCCTCTGAGTCTTCAGGTCCTCCCCTTGACTAGCTATTGCCAAAGCCTGCTGAAGGTAAACCACCACCTGTGCAGGAAGCACAGAAATATTTTCCTTCCAGTGAGGATTAAGCCTGACTGAGTTTTTGATAAAGAGTTCAATTTTCTGGAATGCATCATTCAAGGAATGATCTTGCCCTGAGTCTAGACTTAAAGAAGCAAGTGCGAGGAAAGGTAGATACTTTTTGTGGTAAAGCCTGCACAGCAGCCAGTTGAGATCAACCGGGGCAATTTGCCTCCCTTCTTCCACAGACAGTGTGATGATAAGGAACTGAAGCCTCTCTACAAACGGTAAAGCTTCTTCTATTTTCCTTAGATGGAGAAAGAGACAAACAGAGAGATAGCATGTCCGAGCCTCTAGGTATTTGTCTTTTTCAATTATGGCTCTGCGCATGATTGGTTGTAGCAGCTCAAACTCATCCACAGAGCAGAAGTTGTGGCAGGGAAGACAAAGAATCAGAGCACTTGCTTTCTCAAGTGTGAACGGCAACTTGTCCATCATCTTCTGTTTTAGGTAAACCGAAGTGAGATTGGTGTAAAGGGCTATTAGAAGTGGTTTGTCATTAAAGCCATTTACAGGAACCTTCGAAGCCTCCTCAAAGTACACTCTTGCTTGTGAGTACTTTAGTTTCTTGGCACATAGGCGGCCGAGGAGGAAGCAGGCACGCCGGTGGGCCCAGAGCATCCTGCCTTTCTTGGCTCCTTCTCGCAGGTTTTCCAAATGTTGTAGCACCTCGTCCTCTGGAAGGCCATTGAAGAAAGTGTCCAGAAAAGAGTAGGAGAGGTCATAAAGAGTTCTAAAAGTGTCTTGGAAATATTCCAGGTTGAGGAGGGTCAAGATTGGGTCGCATCTCTCAGCTTCTTCAGTCTCCCAGATACCCTCATCCATAAAGTTTGGAGGGTCTTCCTCATATTCGTCCATTTCTCTGAAGGTGTCCTCCAGGTTGAAAGAGAGGACTTCAGAGTCTCGGTCAAGATGATTTCGAGAGGCAGAGAATGATTGCCTCGGGGACGAGTGGTAAGGAGTTGCATCACTCTTTTCAGATACAGTGCGCTTTCTTTGATCCACTGTGGTTTTCTGTTCTGCAGGTTACACAAAGTGTACATTTTAGAATATTTTATAGCACATACTCTAATAAACTTACAATGAAAAATGAAAATTAGAAATGAGGTAGATAAAGGATTTTCTGTGTGCAAAATTTGGTGATGGTTAGGCTTACCTGGAATTGGGTGGTTTCTGATGTAAGTGAAATCGGAGTCATCAAGTCTGTCTGCAGTTTGTAAGAGAAACAGTTTGCAAGAGAAAAAAGATTTGTCATTTGGTGAAAGGTATAGCTCAGCCAGTCTTATCATTTTTGCCATCATATATCCACCCTTATGTAATTTCAAATTAGTTTGAAAGTCTTTCTACATCTTTCTTCTTTCATCTTCTTGATGGTAAATGATGACAGAATTTTTTAGTAAACTACTCAATTGCCCTAAGATTATTCAAGGTCTCCCAGAGAGACAATGCATCATCTCTTACCCAATCTGTACACAGTGCTTATGTCAGTGGAGAAAAGATTTGTCAGTACATCTGCCTGGCTGGGCTCAAGGCAGGGGTTAAGTTTAGACAGGGCTGTCCTTTCCTCCTCACTCAGAAAGACCAATTGTCCATTGCTGTGCAAAGCCAACAAAGACAACATTATCATTCACATGACTCTCATTCGGGTTGCTTCATCACATCATCACATAACTCCACTAACCCCCCTTCCAACACCCTCATCACCCCCAGCTAGACAGAGGCACATTCAACAAAGGTCAACAGAATGAAATTGCTTTTGCCAGCTGGTTGCCTTCAATTGGTATGTCAGTATCATCGAGAGGCACATTAGATAAATAGTTTTGCAAAATAAAGAGAAGGTCCTTTGTTTAAGTACACGATGACTCTATGAATATAAATGCAGTAAATACAGTTGAACTGTTTACTTACAGTCTCTCAGTACTCTCGGGTTTTACATGGGCTTTGTGAACAAATCCTGTCTCTCCACTGGTGAGGTGTCTTCCTATGAACATACTCAGAGTATTGAAAAGAAATCCTTCAATCTTGATTTGATCTCCTATGCGTAAGTGCAGCTCATCTTTCACCACTGGGTAATGGTCCACTACTGCCACACAGGTCCCCACCACTGAAACAGAAGCAAAAAGATGTTGATTAACCCAAAATTACTGTTGATCCATCCTTCATTTTCTTAAAAAAAATAGACAAAATCAATGCCACAGTAAGGCATTTAAATTGGAAGTAAATAAGGAAAATGTTATAAAGATTTAAAGGTCCTGTGAAATTAGTTAGTATCAGAACATTATGTTGGTTTTAATATTTATAACCTAGTGTACTACAAAATATGCATTTAGAGGATATAAATATATCTGGATATATACATCCAAAGCTTGCAGTTTGTCACTTCCACCTAAATGGATCAGCAATTTTTTCACATAACCCCATCGTTTAGTTTTTCATCAAACCTTGACCATTGAGCTCCACCAGAGGGACTATTATATGTGACACTCTCTCGTCATGTTTCGGTTGAGATTACGTCAAACATCAAATAAAAAAATGCACATTTCAAAGCACTTCATGAAACCTTTAAAGATTATCTTAATAATAGGTTTTCTAAATATTTCAGAAGAATCTCACCAACAGGATGATCAAAGAGGCCTTCTGTAACTGAAATTCCTCCTGCATTTCCTGGATATTTCTTAAGGAACCATCTAGAAAAAAGTGTATATTTGTAAAGACATTAAAAGCTTTATTCTAGCTGAAGTAGATATTCAGCTAGACAAATCTGTTGTCCCTAAAATCCATCCTGTATAAGCTTAGAAAGTCAGTGTCACTTACTGATAAAATGGATAAGGCAGAGGCTGCATATCATGCACAGGCACCAGACCATGTTTGCCTGTTGACAGTAGTGTACCCTCCCATATGGCCTCCTGTCCAATGTCTTTCACCATGACTAGGTCATTCCTCCTGTAGTTTAGCTCCTCTTCCTCCTCTTTGCAGTCACTCTTATATAAAGTCTTGCCAAAGAATGTACCTGAAATGGTAATGAGACTGTCTTTAGTTACTAGCTTATTCCTGTAACATGTAAAGTATGTCCAAACCTTTATCAAAGTTGTCCTAAAACTATTGAGTATTGAGCAACACACAATTTTGTTTTAGGACAGTTTTTAAAACCTTTTTGAACCACTTCAAAAGTCAATTCAGTTGTATTACTCTTTAACAAGTTGATTTCTAAGTTTGACCCATATGCTGTTTTTTTTATATGTTTTGTCTGCCTCTTGACTGTGACCTTGACAGAGTCAAAAGTAAGGGACTGTTTTGGATAAATATTACAATAGTAGACAAATCCTTACCTTCCTGTAGCAGAAGTCCCAAATAAAGAGTAGCTAAGTGGTCTTCATCCACTGTTACAGAAATCTCCACATCGCTTAGCAATGCCGGGTCCAGCCAGAATGACTGGTCACAAAGAAAGTTCTCAAGGCATCTTGCTACATATCCTACAATATAAAATAAATATTTATTAAGTTAAAACTGTATACAGAATTATTGATGTTGAGTAAATGTAACAGAACATTTGATTGACACCAACCAAGTGCCAGGTAAGTGGAGAACTTCCAGATCTCCTCGACAGTTTTAAAGGTGATGACAAAGCTGTCTTTCTCCGCATGAACAGACAGCAGTCGTGCAGACAAGTCCTGTGTGTACAATATCAGCAAGAACTAAATGTAATGAAGATTGAAATGACTTAAGTAATCAATAGTAACAAGTTCATAATGGTGCCAGTACATCCGTGTCTGACCTTGAAGAGCTGGACGACATCCTGGCTGTTACTTTCTACTACCCGGAGTCTTGTACGCAGTGCCTCTTGAAGCTGATCGTCAGGTGCTACACTCGATCGCCACCTCCCGCTAAACAACAAAACAACATCTCCAAGGAACAGAGCAAAAATATTGAGTTAAGTATCCACCACAAAGTAGCCAAGATTTACGATCAGTTACATGAGCAGTAACAGGAAAGCTCTTGTGATGTAGGGCGTGATTACTGCGTCCAACATCACGGCGTTAGTAACAAACCAATATGTTGTTTTTTTTGCAGGGACAGCACTATGATTGACCACATCACTAAAGATACACCATTAGGGCAGAGGCTGAGTGTTCACATTAAGGAAGTCTGGCAGAGTGTGCTTAAGGACTGCAGCCATTAAAGGCCATTATGTAGATGGAGACCATTATTCTCACACAGGTCTACAGGACTCAGTGATCCTTACTGCAAATACCTGGAGAGAGGCGTTCTCCTGATGAAGATACTGTGCTGCTTCCGCTGAACGTTTCCTTCCTCCTCCAGTAAATCTCTCTGCTTATGCCTTCTGCCTCCACCTCGGCCTCAGCCTCAGCCTCCGCTTCCTCATCTCCAGTGGCAAAACAAAGGAAACCGGGGTCAACACCACTTTCCAGAACTCTGTAGTTTGGTCAGCATTAACAATACACCAGAACTACTGTATGAATATATTTATGGTCAATCTTACTGATAAGTAAAACAAAATAATACTTGAAGAAATACAGAATATTTAAGACAAGCAAAAGGTTCCCTTTGCTAGTTAGGCACTTCCTGCAGATTTAGATTTTACAGTAAATGGGCTTCACCAAATACAGTAGTTCTTCATTCCAATATATGATACGAGTACTAATTAGCGTAGCATGTAAATATAAAAATATCAGAGCTGTGTTTACCAGCTCGTAAAGTTGAGGACATAAACAGGAAGTGCTAGCCATATCATAATGGCTCTATAAATATGATCCAGATGGCTTAAATAATAGCCTTCTTCCTCATCTCCGGACGTGTATGACTTTCCCAGATTTGTTCGTTGAAAAGAAAGGATGTTGCAAACAGCTGGTTTGTATAAAGCCATTAATTAATTTTTCGTTTTCGGCTTAGTCCCTTTATTAATCAGCGGTCGCCACAGCGGAATGAACTTTAGGGGAAACCGGAGCACCCAGAGGAAACCCACACAACACAGTGAGAACATTTAAACTGACTCTGCTGGGGCTCGAACCAGCGACCTTCCTGCTGTGATGTGATCATGCTACCCACTGCCTCACTGTGCTGCCGGTTTGTATAAAATGCATTCAACGTAAACATTTGTAAAAGAATCATGCAATTCTCAGGCTCTCAGTTATTTCTGAAACACTCATGCATGACTCAAGAAATCCTCTTACCAGCTGTCATGGCATCATTGGGTGGAAAGAGCTCACTGACTGCGGCTAAAGTGTATGGAGGGTCATTCCACAAGGCATCGAGCTCAGCAGGCGATATCGCTATTGAAAGGGAGGGTGAGGTTTAAGGGAGCGTTATTAAATTAGCCATATGTCAAGCTGAAGCTTTTAGGGTAAACGCTTAATTAAATGAACATTAAACGTATAAAAAAATCACAGCTTTCAAATAATGAAAGCTTGTGCAAATCAAAGGGAGTACATGCAAACAATGACAAACGTGATGAAACGTATTGATATCAGCCTAAAACTAGGCACAACAAGTCCTTGGGGATTGTTATATCGATGCAATCTTTTATCACAAAAGGACTACTTGCTAGTTGTTAGTCCACAGCTGCTAGTAAGTTATCTATCAACAGCAAAACAATGTACCAATGGCTAACACAGCAACAATACATACAGTAATTAGTCACAACAGGCATTACACACAACAACAAAGCACACGATAGCTGACACCTAAAGTAAGTACACATCCTGCATTACCTTCATGGGTAAACCTATTACCCATGACTGACAGAAACACTGTGATGTCTCCCTGTGATAGTTACGCTTTCTTCTCATGGCAAAAATCTATGAAAGCCAGGGTGGGACCAACCTGAAAACAAGAAGCAGTTTCTGAGGCATGGAACTGGACAGCAGCAGCAGCAACAACATGCCATGGTGTACACAGCTGACTCCAAACTCAGGTTCAGTAATGCCCGCTTGGCTATAGATCCACTTATCGATAGAGTCACTCCTCTCCCTCTCTCTCTTCCTTTCCATTTTCCTCTCGTGCATAAACCGCACTCTCTCTACTGCTCATTTCTAACTTCCATCTGTTTGCTTCTCTCTCCCCTTTTCCTCTGTGCGTCCACTCTGCAGATGAGTGAAGCACTCTGAAGCACTGCTGGCATGTTTGTGTGGGCTGGTCAGTGCCTTTCTGTGCCAGGGGTTCTTGTGGAAAGTGAGAGCGGCAGCATTCTCACATCGCTGACATACAGAGACAAAAGGCCCAGTGATTTTGTGTCCATTGCTCACTGCAAGTATATGTGCTGTTTTTTATTTAGTGATTCTAAATTTGACTTTTCTCTTTTGCTGTGAAAACACAGTTGACAGCTTCTAGATTTAAAAGCACAACTATCTTTGTCTGGCATCATTACTTTCTATCATTTCAAAAATCAATAATTGATATAGATATTAAGGCCATAATCTGATTTTAAAGAGAGGAAATTAAATTAATAAATAGGTCGCGCAGATCCAAAGATTTACAAAGCAACATTTTTTCTAGCACAACATTACTAGCCACACCATTCGGTTAAAAGTAAAACATAAACCAGTATCTCTCATGAGGAAAATACAGTGGCCGAGAGCTTAATGTGCTGCAACTTAAGAAAACACATGCAATAACACACCAGCAAATTTAGAAAAGATCTTCATCCATTTGATAGCACACGTGCAGCAAATCCTCACACTGCAAACACATAAGAAAAACGTGCTGCATTTTCTCACAACGCAAGCTATTTACGAAAACACTCAAATAGCTCAGAACACAACGAAAATGTTTCAAAGGGACCCTAAAACGTGACAAACCCCAGCTATTTAAGCTAATAGCGAGGTTTTTATGTCCACTTGAAACATTTCTGTTGTGTTCCAATGGTTTTGCAAGTGTTGTGAGAAAATTCAGTGAGTTTTCATATTTTGTTTGTGTTGTGAAAAAATGCAGCACATCTTATTCATTTGTTTGCATTGTGTGAGAATGCAGCGCATTTTAAAATTGTGACGATTTGCAGCACGTGTGCTGTCAAACGGATGAAAATCTTTTCTTAATTTGCTGGCGTTTTTTGTAATTGCATGTGTTTTCTTGAATCGCAGACCTTTAAGATCTAACAGCCTCCGTGGGAAAAACCCTTTTTAAAAATTATAAAAATCCACTAATACTCATACTAATAGTATACATTAAATATTTAGTTCAGATAGAACATTGAATTGGTAAATTCTCTAATAATGAACATATCTCAGTTCATTAAATTTGTACATTTATTTTAAAACTACATTTAGAACAATGAAAAATCAAAAGGCTGTTTCCAATCAAATTAAATTATCAATACCTTTGAACAGCAGAGGTTGCACATTTTTCTATTTATTTATTGCCATTTAGATGTATTTAGAACTATATCACAAATTTAATGGATGTATTTCTATTGTATCTACAACTTCAAAAGATTCTAAAATGCATTAAAACATTACATAATATGAAGGTTTTACAATGCAACATATTTCAAATATGGAAAAATATTAAATATGTGAAAATATGAAACCAAAACTAATTGTCCAGTAAGTGCTAATAAGTGACTGCCTTACAATATCAGCGAATAGTCTATTATTTCATTAAAAACGTTTGTTCGTTTATCAATTATGTTTCATTTAACATTTTCATTCAAAAGTGCAGCAAGTGATTATCTTAATGAATCTGTCAATAAACCAATGCCTCGTGATTTGTTTAAAGCCTGGAATCATTCATGATGTAGGTTACTGAGTGACACTTCAGCAATTAAGCTTGTATTTTAGTCAAGAATGTTGTTTAAAATGTGGTTCTTTAGATGTACACAGACATCCATGTTCTTTGGATGTACACAATCTGTTAATATGTTGTTTTGGTGTATTATGTATTTAGTGTGATGTTAAAAAAAATGTTTAGCATATTCAAATCATATAGATAGTATTCTCAATATTTTTTAATGTAGTCAGTCTACCATATGATTGTCTCCCTGTCACTACTTCACTGTCTGTGTTTTGGGGCATAACAAAGAGTGTACTTGTCTATATAGAGTAATTTTGCTCATCGTAGTGTTTTGTAAAGAGAGAACCCAGTCAGATTCTAATTGAATCTGTGGAGATCTTGTGAGCAAGAGCAGTGGTAAACAGCCAAAAGCCATTTCTCAGCATACCTCAACAACTCTCACAGAAAATCTCTATGTGCTTTAGCGAAAAAAACCTGAAGCAATTAGCTCCTCCATAATCACCCAGTGTGTAAATTATGCACTTGCTACTTTTTACAGCAATGATATAGAAAAAAAGAAAAAAAAGAATATATATATATATATATATATATATATATATATATATATATATATATATATATTAGCCATTTTTATGGACTATTTGTTATATTATAAAAATTATACTAATAGCTAAATATTCTTGATAATTAAAAAAGCTGCTTTTTGAGTGTACATGGATTATTATGCTATAATAGTGCTAACATGCTATCATTACATGGTAATGAGTCGTGTAAAATGGTCTTAAAATGACAACATTTTTTATCACAATTAATTTTGGTGCAATGCATCACACAACAAAACGTACAGTAGTTATCATTAATAGGCCTATAAAAAATTAAGCTGCTACTAAATTGTAACAATGACCATATTAGTTTGAAAATCTTTTTTTTTTTTTTTGCATAGGTTTTATGTTCTGAATTAAGAAAAAAAACTAACCTGGATTTTAATAATAATTTATTCTGATTATTTTGACTAAAATCACATTTCCCCATAAAAATCTCATATTTATGCTGTATTTAGTGCCTCAGCATATGTCCCTTATTTCATATTTTTTAAAATGACATTGGTGAGGGCTAGCAGTAGTCACATGTCATGCAAAATTGCCTAATATGTGGGAGCCAATTGTGTTAGTATAATTTAAAAGACAATATCACCATCTAATCACATTTCTATATCAATTAATTTGCAAGTATAGGACTAAGTTTGAAGCGAAAGTAATTAGCTATAAGTATATAAAGGTAAAAACATGTTTAAGGTATGTTTAAAGAAACAGTAAAACCTAAGAAAATGTAATGTGTTTTATGCAATTGCTGAATCTGTCTATTGAACTTCAAAAAAGTCAATGTTAAAAGTTGTTCTTTTAAAGAGTGTACTCGCATTATTGTGCTGTAATATTATCATACTGCCAGTACATAGTGATGAGTCGGGTAAAATGGTCTTTACCTCAAGAAAGTCATTCAGTATTCAAAACTCTTTGATAATATCATTTCAATATTCATTAGTGGTGTTTCATTATTTGAAAAGTCTAAAAAAACAGGTTGTTTTCTATGATAACCATAAAAGTTATTATTCCAACAGCAGAAACATAATTGTGTAATTAAAAGATTATAAAACTGTCTGTCCTATTTTCTGGTCTGAGAAATCAAATATCTAGACTTCTGATACACTATATGTGAATACTATACAATTATAAATGCTCCCCAAATTCCTAGTTTAACTTCTTTGTAGGGGGTTGGAAACTTCATAATTCATACCCTGGGAACTAAAAACCATATGTGTGAAGGTGTCATACTTATAACTACACACCTAATGTTGTGAAAGTAGTAACTGTTGAAGGCTGGCAGCACATTCCCTTCTGAATGTGATACATAGAAGGTGAACTGTCCTGTGCACTTGGAGACAGTGAAGTTAGCGCTCTCTCTCTCTGGGTTACTAGCACAGTGTGTGAATGTCAGTGAAAACAACAAGGTATGTAACCCGAGTAATGAGTCTAGACTCTAAGTTTAGAATGTCGTTCATGCCCAAGCAGCACATGCTGGCAGCCTGTTACTATTAAACGGTGTGAGAAACAATTTCTTATATAGGCTACTTAGTGAAAAGTTCTACAGTTTGTTTTAAGAGACAGATTCTCACAGAGAAAAACTATGTAAATGAAAAGACAACCAAAAGTCTTAACAGAATCTTTAAAAGTACATATAATTCAACCACTTGTCCCACTTTCATTCAAAACTTGAAAACTATTAACACAGGAATGTGAACTAAACACACATTAGTCTATATGCACTTTAGTCTCTGAGAAAGAGCGTACCTCTGACTTGCTGACTCCCGGTTGTGTGTTCGTTCCTCATAGATCTGTCACAATACGAGCTCTGTGGAGTTCCTTTTAAAACTTACCAAAACTAACCATAATAATCCATAATGCTCCTGTAGGAGGGACAAGGGTTGTGTGTGTACGTGTGTCTTCTGGTTGCATGAGTGTAGAGCTGAGGGAAGTTATGTAAACTCCTCCCCTAAATCATATGTGAGTTTTTCCTCTCTGTTTCTCTTTCTCTCTCTCTCTCTTTCTGAGACTTGTTCTCTTATTTCCTTGTTCTATTTAAACTCTAAATCCATACAGAAGGTGTTCACTTTGTTGATAAGGTGATAGATAGCTAGTATTCAGACTATCAATATTTTTACTTTCATGACTAAGCTAATACTAAATATCTGATTCATCAGGAATCCAACCAGTTTTCATTTCTTTGAAAACCTACAAAAAGTAAAGGAAATGTGAATTGTGTATGTGAGAAAAATGTGAATGTGAGTTTTTTTGTTTGATAATAAAAGTAATCCTTCAGGTCTGACTTGTTTTTTCATAGAGCAAAACAAAATGCCTGTAGAGTTGCTATCAGCTTCATTATAGTCAAATACGCCCTCTTGCTCACATTCCAAAGGTGCTTCCTTTAGCATTTCTAGGCAAATATTCAGTCACATGTTTATATCTAGTGAAGATATCAAGTTTCTTTAAAACATTATTATTTTCTTCCAAGAATTCCCTGTGCTCATGTGGCTCTGTTTCGTCAGTAGGTCAGATAACAGGCAGGGCCTAGGCTCAGCTAGTCATTTTTTGCTTTTCTAGCCTGGTTAAATATAAACCCTGGAAAAGACTCCAGATTCTAGGGACTGTTATTGAGTCATTACAAAAGTCACCCTGAGAAGATATTGGCCATGTGACTGGTCTGTGAAAGAAGGCTCTTTGTGCAGTACAGTGTGACCACAGGTCTCAGATGGTGTGGGTAAATGGATTACATACCACATCAATGATAGAGAATCAAACCCCCGACAACTGGTGGAGCCAGCAGGCCATGTGCCCAAACCATAGTCACGGCATTAACATGGCACACAAGACAAGCAGCTGACGGCTTCCACAGCACATCTGTTGGATAGCATATTTATATCTATTCATCTATTGTGCCCGTGATTATTAACAAATAATCATTTTATATGCTTCCTGAATCTGAAAGTTGATTCTCAAGATCAGCTCAGTAGATGCATGGTGTATTTAAAAATCTATTTAAAAGTTTAATTGTAATAAATGATTCACACAAGCACCTGAAAACTTACATTTCAATTGGATCAAGAATGGTGAAATAAACTTTTCCAAATACAAATGAGGGAGCATATAAACACTTGATCAGTACGAAAAATGAAACTGTAATGGTTTGCATGTATGCAATGATGTTGAAATGATGCAGTGATGCATAATGCCTTCTGATTGTTCTTGCTGAATCTATTAAATTGATGTGATAAAGTTCCATTTGCCAACATCTTGTTTGAAAATAGGAATGAGAATTTTTCCCTGGTGAAAAACGTGCACAAACATTTTTGGTTACTCATTTTTTACTTAACAGTTAATTTTTAGTACTATTTAAAGTAAACAAGATGACTATGCTATTTTGACACATCAAAAAGTTGAACTAAAATATACCTTTAAAATACTACTGTTATATTTAAAAATATATATTATACCACTTTTAATACAGTACTAACCATCTTTTATTGCACTTTTAAATATGCTATCTGTACAAATAAAATACACTTATATATTCTGTAA